TCAATACCAATACAAATATGATCTCATATAAGGATTCAACAAATATGTTTGAATCCTAATACGAATACTAATATGAATGCTAATATGGTTGTTTCCATCATTCTAGCAAAGAAAGACGACTTTTCTGCAGCAAAATGTGGTCGAATGTCAATACCAATACAAATATGAGCTCGTATTAGCATTCACCAACTATGTTTGAATCCTAATACGAATACTAATATGAATCCTAATATGGTTGTTTATATCAATCTAGCGAAGAAAGATGACTTTTCTGCTGCAATTGCGGTCGAATGTCAATACCAATACAAAAATGAGCTCATATTAGGATTCGCAAAGTCTGTTTGAATACGAATACTAATATGAATCCTAATATGGTTGTTTATATCATTCTAGCGAAGAAGGATGACTTTTCTGCAGAAAATGTGGTCGAATGTCAATACCAATACAAATATGAGCTCATATTAGAATTCGCATACTCTGTTTGAATCCTAATACGAATCCTAATATGAATACTAATATGGTTATCTATATCACAATAGCGAGGAACACGATTATTCTACAGCAAATGTGGTCATATGAGCTCATATTAGGATTCATATTAGGATTCGTATTAGGATTCGAATACAATTTGGCGAATCCCAATATGAACGCATAGTTGTATTGGTATTGACATTCGACCACATTTGCTGTAGAAAAGTCGTGTTTCTTCGCTAAAATGATATAAACAACCATATTAGGATTCATATTAGGATTCGTATTAGGATTCAAACAGAGTGTGGGAATTCTAATATGAGCTCATATTTGTATTGGTATTGACGTTCGACCACATTTCCTGCAGAAAAGTCATCCTTCTTCGCTAGAATGATGTAAACAACCATATTAGGATTCATATTAGGATTCATATTAGTATTCGCATTAGGATTCAAACAGAGTAAGTGAATCTTAATCTGAGCTCATATTTGTATTGGTATTGACATTCTACCGCATTTGCAGCAGAAAAGTCATCTTTCTTTGCTAGAATAATATAAACAACCATATTAGGATTCAAATTAGTATTCGTATTAGGATTCAAACATAGTTGGTGAATCATAATATGAGCTCATAATTGTATTGGTATTGACATTCGACCACATTTGCTGTAGAAGTATCGTGCTTCTTCGCTATTGTGATATAGATAACCATATTAGGATTCATATTAGGATTCGTATTAGGATCCGAACACAGTTGGCGAATCCCAATATGACCGCATAGTTGTATTGGTATTGACATTCGACCACATTTGCTGTAGAAAATTTGTGTTTCTTCACTAGAATGATATAAACAACCATATTAGGATTCATATTAGGATTGAAATTGGGATTCAAACATAGTTGGCGAATCCTTATATGAACTCATTTTTGTATTGGTGTTGACATTCAACCACATTTGCTATAGACAAATCGTCTTTCTACGCTATTGTGATATAGATAACCATATTAGTATTCATATTAGGATTCGAACACAGTTGGCGAATCCCAATATGAACACATAGTTGTATTGGTATCGACATTCGACCACATTTGCTGTAGAAAAGTCGTGTTTCTTCGCTAGAATGATATAAACAACCATATTAGGATTCATATTAGTATTCGTATTAGGATTCAAAAAGACCTGGCAAATCGTAATATGACGTCACATTTGTATTGGTATTGACATTCGACCACATTTGCTATAGAAGTATCGTGTTTCTTCGCTATTGTGATATAGATAACCATATTAGGATTCATATTAGGATTTGTATTAGTATTTAAACACAATTGGCGAATCCCAATATGAACGCATACCTGTAGTTGTATTGGTATTGGCATTCGACCGCATTTGCAGCAGAAAAGTCGTCATTCTTCGCTAGAATGATATGAAAAACCATATTAGGATTCATATTAGTATTCGTATTAGGATTCAAACATAGTTGGTGAATGCTAATATGAGCTCATATTTGTATTGGTATTGACATTCGACCACATTTTCTGTAGAAAAATCGTGTTTCTTCGCTATTGTGATATGGATAACCATATTAGGATTCATATAAGTATTCGTATTGGGATTCAAACATATTTGGTTAATCCTAATATGAGCTCATATTTGTATTGGTATTGACATTCGACCACATTTGCTGTAGAAGTGTCGTGTTTCTTCGCTATTGTGATAACCATATTAGGATTCATATTAGGATTCGTATTAGGATTCGAACACAGTTGGTGAATCCCAATATGAACGCATAGTTGTATTGGTATTGACATTCGACCACATTTGCTGTAGAAAATTTGTGTTTCTTCACTAGAATGATATAAACAACCATATTAGGATTCATATTAGGATTGAAATTTGGATTCAAACATAGTTGGCGAATCCTAATATGAACTCATATTTGTATTGGTGTTGACATTCAACCACATTTGCTATAGACAAATCGTCTTTCTACGCTATTGTGATATAGATAATCATATTAGTATTCATATTAGGATTCGTATTAGGATTCGAACACAGTTGGCGAATCCCAATATGAACGCATAGTTGTATTTGTATTAACATTCGACCACATTTGCTGTAGAAAAGTCGTGTTTCTTCGCTAGAATGATATAAACAACCGTATTAGGATTCAAATTAGTATTCGTATTAGGATTCAAAAAGACCTGGGAAATCTTAATATGACCTCATCTTTGTATTGATATTGACATTCGACCACATTTGCTGTAGAAGTATCTTGTTTCTTTGCTATTGTGATATAGATAACCATATTAGGATTCATATTAGGATTCGTATTAGGATTCGAACACAGTTTGCGAATCCCAATATGAACGCATAGTTGTATTGGTATTGACATTCGACCGACCGCATTTGCAGCAGAAAAGTCGTCTTTCTTTGCTAGAATGATGTAAACAACCATATTAGGATTCATATTAGTATTCGTATTGGGATTCAAACATATTTGGTGAATCCTAATATGAGCTCATATTTGTATTGGTATTGACATTCGACCACATTTGAAGCAGAAAATCGTCATTCTTTGCAAGAAGGACATAAATAACCATATTAGGATTCATATTGGGATTGAAATTGGGATTCAAACATAGTTGGCGAATCCTAATATGAGCTCATATTTGTATTGGTATTGACATTCGAGTACATTTGATACATAAACATCAAGATTCATTGGTATAATGATATACTTAACCATATTTTGATTCATATTAGGTTTCATATTTGTATTGGTATTGACATTCAAGCTCACTAGCTGCTGGTCATTTTGAATCCCAATCCCAATACCAATATGCAGCCAACTTTACCCACTTTCTAATTATGATATGTTAGTTTGCTTATATTTTACAGATATTTTCATGTTTAAAATCCCTTTGATGCCTGAATTTTACCATCAACATAAAGATGGCAGTAGAGGTCATTGGAATGGGATGGACCTAAAGATTGCAGTAGGGGTCTATCTATTCATACCTTCCATAAATGACAATGGCTGAAGTGTTTATCTCAACCTAGTTCCTATGGAATTTATATTGTCAAAAAGGTGTTGGAGGTACGTGAAAATAATGGGAGAATACTAGTACCTCAGATAAACAAGATCTGCAATGGCTGATTTGAGGTGAAGTGCACTGACTACAGAATGTCTAAAGATTTGGGCCCAAAATTTCTTACTGGATCCACGCGGTCCTAACTTCGACTGTTATTTTGAATTTTTGACCTACCGGATGTTTGAAAATCAAGGATTACGAGTCTCATACTGCACCGTTTTTCTTCAAACTTGTTCCATTCAAAGCATAACAAAAATCCTTTTCTGATGGTACATTATTCTCTTAAACAGAGTCCCTACTTCCAGCGGCATTTTGGTCCCCGGCTGTAAGAAGGCCTTCTAACAGCTGGGGACCAAAACGCAACTAGAACAAGGGACTCTTTACAATAAAGTAATGCACCGACAGAAAGGCAATTTTGTTCTGGTTTTAATGGTATAAGTTTGAAGAAAAACGGTGCAGTATGAGAGTTGCAATCCTTGATTTTCAAACATCCGGTAGGTCAAAAATTCAAATTAACGGTCGAAGTTAGGACCGCGTGGGATCTGCCAGTGTGTGATAAATCTACAATGCCTATCTGAGAGGCACCAGACCGTTGCCCTGATTTAAGACCAATGCTCCCAATTTGATAATAATCATCTTATCTTTGTATTCCAACAAAATTATTAAAGGAATATAGAAATCAGTCAATGTCGTGATACATGCATGATACTTGTGTAACTCTAGGCATTGCTCAACAATATAAAACAGGGAATTAACATGCAAAATGTCACCACTTGCCATTTGTTACATACAGGATACTGTCCATAAAAAAGTTGGAGACTATAACAATATATCACCACTTCTGGTGGTGACATAAAAATGATGTTGAAATCTTGGTTGCATCTCATTTTTGTCATTACAACCCACAGATATTAGTCCTTACAAAAAGTTCTAAAAAGCAAGCCTGTTTAAGAACCCCTATTCTTACTACTGTACTATTGAAAATGGATTCTAGCAAAACTATCCAACATGAATGTACTTGTTGAGATTCGATCAACTTGTGTTCTTATGAGAAAATGAGGATTTCAGCAAGGGTACATTGACTTAACATGGGGTTCACAATTGACTTATCATCGGGATGCCATCATGTGTGTTACGAAGGAGATAGATGCAAAATTTTCTAATTAAGAATACGGGTTCTTAAACAGGACATTAAAGCTAAACTAAGGCCTTTTTGAAATTTTGGGTTAGCACTATATGGTTAAAGAAATATAAAACATCTTTAAAGATTGAAATAATACACTTATCATCTCTGAAGTGTTTGCCTTACGTGAAAGTTCCATATTTTGTCATAGTATATAATATAACATGTCAATAAATTTTTGACCTTCAAAATATTAGAAAATATATTCTAGTGTTCGCGCTATTCCAACATAGCTATGGAAGAATTTCCTACTTCTTTGTCAAGAGTAAACAATTCATTTTCACTTCTATTTTATGATGCTTTAATTCATGATCTCACATAAAAAAAGGAAAACTACATTTATTGAGTCAACAACAATGTTTTATATTTTCAACATTTACAGAAAGGAAGATATATCCTCATCTATTGGCAGTACAAGTTGCGGACCATAATGAACAGTTGCATAGTTCACTAACTACAAAATCTATTTATCTATTTCATGATCTGGTAAACACATCCCATTTAAAAGTTGATACATACAGTATACAGTATAACATTACCCTGTTTTAATAAGCCTTTTTTATGTTCATGAAATAAAGGGATGTTTTAATAAGAGATTCTTATGATAAAACCCATTTTAGTTAACACAGACTCAACATTAAAAAAACTTTAAATCCATGGGTATGTAGGCTTATGGGTATACTTGTGATATCCAACACAAATCTATTAATATCTCAATCATAAGTTCAGATTTCGATTTGCATTAAAAATGTTTGGTATAAATAAAAAATATTTGCATCAGTACAACGACAGTTTATTTGTATTTTAAATTACTTGCAGTATTACTATTGGCTTGATAAATACAAACTGTACTCCTACTTTCTAACCTACTGGAAATTTCCCTTTAGTCCAACTATTTTGAATTCATTGTGTAAAGGTTTTCTCAAATTAACGCCAAGTGGAAAGAACATTCTGAGTCTCTTTTAGTTAGTCTTTGATTTGGTCATAGATCATTGCCATATGTCCCTTCAGTTCTTCCATTTTAAGGCCCATTATCTGAGTAGCTTGTATTCTCTGTTCCTCACCACATTTCTCCAGTAAGTCCTCATATTCTTTGATTGTGTCTTTGACAGCTACTTCTGCTTCTAAAAGGTCATCACTGAAGTATACAGTTCCTATGCTTTCTTCCTGAAAAAGTATAAAATTGATATTTAATATGATTAAAAAGAACAACTGAGGCTCTCTAAATGTGAGTATAGACCACAAATCGTAATGGTTGTGATACTTCCGTGACGAAGCCAAACTATGTACCGTATACTTAGCCTTGCCCAAGTCGGTATTTTTTACTTATCTGATCTTGAATTATTACCGCCTTGTACAATCCAATACATCTCCGCTGATATTATGCTGAGATATTCAACGGTTTCGAGATTTCCATAATACCTACGCTATCAGGGGTATCGCGAAACCTTATGGATTGACAGGTATACGCGTGGACACGACGTGTGACTTCAGGCTGATTGACCAATCAAAACGTTATCAGGTTGACCTGCATAAGCAAAGCAATCTTCCCATCTACGACTTAAAATTCAATGATCTGATCGATCGTTTCTTTAGAGTTACAATATATTATGTAGTTAAATGTACATAGGGAATGTAAGAGTCATTAATATAAATTAAATCATGCAATAGATTTAAAACTGATTTCGCGATGAAAATGCAAGACCTAGTCCAATGTAGCGGGTCATGTAGTCGTCGGTCAGTGATTGAATCTCAGCATACATGTTCATTTGAATTCAGCGATCGTTTCAACGTTTATTGTTGAAATCTTCTCACCTCCGGTTACCGATCGAGGTCCCGCATCCACTAAACTCTGATTGATATTTATCTGATAAAATATTTGTATTTTCATGAAGAATTCATGCAAGATTTGTTCGTGAAAAGTCCCAGCGAAAAGTGTACTTGTTTTTGACCGTGCATAATAATGAGCTAACGCTGCAGGGCCGTCGTTGATTGGTCAAATTTTACCGACATAAACATTGAGTCGGTAAAGCATGTGGCTTTCTCTTTGGTACAAGGCGGTCATAATAGAAATCAAGATAGTAAAAGAGACCGACTTGGGCAAGGCTACCGTATACTAATCATAACTAGAAATCTGCAACTCCATGGAGCAGCAAATCCGAACAATGATATTAATAATATTCATGAATCTGTAAATGTCACAATGTAATATCAACCATCTCCTCTACCCTTGAATAAATTGGCGGATATTGAAAGATATACAGTAGATATATATTATAATCCATCAATTTAAGCATTTGGGTGACCAATTATTAGTTTCAATATGAGACAATCCAATATTTCTAATGTAGTACATGTATCGTGTGTTCATGCTGTTGATATAGTAAAATACAACACTCTGAAAAAGTATGGATAAGGACCCCACCTTGTCACTTTTTTGAAAATGTCAGGCTTATTTTCTAAAAAGAGGATCTTGATTTTCTCAATTTTTTCTTCTACACTATATTAATAACTTCTGAAAAGGGGATGTGTATTGAAATGCGATAAAGTTAAAAGCCACATACCCCATGCTGTTTTCCCATAGGGAAACTCATGCTATCCATTATTTTCAGCATAAGTTTGGTCATCGAAAATTGATATCTTCAAAACTAGACTTTCAATACCATTCTACTTTTGAAGAAGTTCGAGACCCCTTGGTGAATAATCTTTTCATACAATAAAAATTAGAAAAAGATCTTCTTTTGAGAAAATAGGTTCAACATTTTGAAAAAATTGTTGACACGGGGTCCCTATTCATGATTTGTTGAATTGTTTGATTGATGTTTTTATCATTATGGGGACTTCACTTGAAAGAAAACATATTGTTTTAATAAAAACCACTGTATTGATGCCCAGAAAGTACTCATGATGAAAGATGTGACCGTCTAAAATCACTTGCCATACTGCACATAGACCTCTGGGATGATTGAAAAATATTTGTTTACATAGGAAGTGCCGTTCAAAATGGCCAATGGAGTAAATTAATTTGCACATTTTTTTTCCCACAGGAGGGACATGATGATCAATAGACCGAATTTTCAAGATATTCAGTCTATTTGATATCGGGTACAATGTCGTGCTTGGATGAGTTTCACAATGTAACCTAGGAAGAGAGAGGACATAGAACATACTGGTAAGTAGATAATTATAGGATATCCTATGATTTTGAGGAATATCCTTTTTATCTACGAGGTGATATATCGATATCTGCATGAGAGAGCAAAGGGAACGAGTGCATATATCAATATCACTGAGTAGATTTAAATGATATTCTGAAAAAATCATATGATATTCTTATTATCCTACACTTACAAGGAGTGTACTAAATGTATAATATCATTGCAAAATGAATTTCATGCCAAATAGAGTCAATTTGGCGGGAAATCAACGTTACAAGCGGAGTATATCGCCACAATATCCTCCGCATATTGGGTTTTCCGGAGTATATCGTCACGATATCCTCCGCCCCAGGCCTCAAAATTAGCATTGCTAAGGTAGCGATTTGCTACCTGTTTTACCCAAAACACTACTTTTTATTTCCTCCAGTTAGCTAACTTAGCTCCTCACCTAATTACTCTCCATGCAAAAATGCATGGATTCGATTGATTTGTCGATCAGCTGATCTTTGTTGTTTCTTGTTTGAACTGACTCACAACTTTTACAATTAAACCAAAGCAGACCAATCATAATCGACTTCAGTTTTACTATCAATGAAATGTATATGCAAATCATCACAGTGAATCATAGTAATATCCGGGTAAGTAAGTTATACAGTGTAATATCTAATTATTGCGCTGGTAAGTCATAAGAATAAAGATCACTCTCATCAAAATCATCACTACTTGCTCCGGTTATTCATTTTGCCAATAAATATCAAATTCATTTTTTAATGTTATTATACATTTAGTACACCAAGTGTAGGATAAGTGGTTATATAACATCATTTCATTATGTTTATCATTCAAACTTACAAACATTTTGACTTTAGTTGGACTGCTGTGATCATAAGAGGGAAAGAAGTGCAATATTTAAGTATGATTTAAGTTTAACCTACCAAATCATCTAGCATTTCACGGGCCTCCATAAACTGTTCTGTTATTCTTTCTATCTCTCGCTTCAGAGCAAGTCCAGGGTCAGTTGAATAATACATGTAATGATTTGCAGATAGATGAGAGGGTATGTTTTTGCATGCATCATCAACATGTTTATTTCTAAAGTTCAACACTCTGCAATTTTTAAGATAGCCTTTACAATTTGTATCAGTAGTGTACTCCGCTTCGGATAGTCGACCTAATGGAACAAAGTTCCTGAAAAAAGGTGAATTATTTACTCTTCCAAAATTTGAAAAACTTGAATATCTCTGGATGCTTTGATTGTCATGTCTTGAGATACCAGCATCTTCTTTAAATATACTACATATAGTTGTTGAGTATAATGATTGTCCAGAATAAGGTTTTACACAATGAGTAATACGATTTTTCGAAAAATATTTCAAACTTGGAAATATTTTGATGGAAGCGGTCATCTTGAAAATTACCCGGATGATCAAGATAACGCATGCGTATAGGAAGTGAATTCGTTAAAATACCCGGATGAAAAGAATTGTGTTCTGAAAAATTTGAGTAACATATTTGGTAAGTAATACAGTATTATACATTCATAATTCTTTAAATTGAGTTTAAACAATAGTTTAATAGCTTGCCCATAATATTAATCAAGAAATATATGGTTCTATGTTGGAATTCTTCTCAAATGTGACCTCACAGAACCAGCGTTTTTTCAAACTACTTTTCTTCAATGCAGCACGCAGGAACGAGAACATGCTCTTTTTGTGATCAGATCAGATAATGCGTTAATCCTAATTCTGTGTACAAATTGACTTTTCTTCTACGATACTGTCTAAATATTGTCTCTATATGGCTTACCAATCAAGATTACATTTACAGTGCTGATATATAATAATATAGGGTGCGTTTTCAAACCAAAAAGAGCGTTCCTACCAAAATGAATTTGCCTACATACCCCTGAAACTCTTATCTGATAGATAGAATGCACAAATAAAACAAAAGTTTTGCAATTATAGGTAAAAAGTTCTCTTGAAATTTCGAAGTGATTTTACCTGTTAATTCTGTCCATGGTCGGCCATTTTTGCGGAAGTTACACTGAAACGCAAACTCCATGAAACGAAACGAAATCACTAGAAAAAACATGGCACACATTGTGCGCATGTGCAGCAAAGTTTAGACCAATTAGATTATTTGATTATTTTGCGCACGTGAATTATTTGCTTCCGAGCACTTACAAGCTTACCACAATAAACAAACCTGGCAGAGACTACCCTTAGCCTACTTCATTTTGGCGAAATTTCAGCTCAAACTCGTGAAAAATGCATTATGCAAACGCTGATGTGAAGCCTTGGAGACACTCATTTTGGTAAATATGATTTATGGGGTATACTTTTCTGCAGTTTGTGGGAGTTTGGGACATTAAATGTTAAAATTCAAGAAAATATGCCAATTAAACGACTGATCAATTAATATATACCAGCACTGTACAAATTATGATCCCATCACACTGGATTGATTGGAACCAATTTTCTTCGATATCATATGCGACAGATATGTGACAATAACATAGAAACACCTACTACACTACCACCTACTGAAATGTTAAGTGCTGACGAAAAATAATCATGTAAACTTGATTTCATGGCCTGACTGTGTCGGTAGAACTTGAAAAATAAGACTTACCTGAAGATTAGGAGTCTTACTTACCCTCTAGAGGTAAGAACACACATTTCAATGAAACCATATCAGCTTTGTTTTGTTCATGATGAAGCATAAGCACAGCTTTTTGGACTTTTCCATTTTCCTCGTGTTAACTTCCGGGATGGCGTTGCTTCTATCACGAAATAATGTATTGACATTGAACTTAATTTTGTGACATGTCATCCAACCATGTCTGATGTAAAAATGATTAAAATATTAGAAAAGAATGTTTTGTGGTCTTTTGCAGATGAATTTAGGACAGGGCAGAGGAGGATGGCCTGTTCTAAGATAGAAAAAACTGCATGATCTGCAGTTGAACTATAGTCTATACAAATCTTTTGTTGCATTTATGGTGTTTTTACATGTGAGTCAATGGGTGGGAACAAATTTTGAACCAAGAAAAATTGAGAGGTGTCCAGATTAGAGAGTTATGCAGATATACAGGTTTCACTTTACTTTGTTTGCGCTCTCTGTTTGAATACTTTTGATGGGTTCCAGCATCATCTTCATTCATTATAGCCCTATTTTAGCCATATATTAAATAATTTTTGTCTTTTTCAGAGAATTCTTACGCACTCTACATTCATCATTATGGCTACATTGTATCGATATGCCAGCTAATTCAAGTATAGACTTCATCGCGGAAACTCTACGGTCGTCTTTGGGGAGTGAGAAAAGACAAAACCTAGAGGACCGCCTTGTATCTTCTTCACGGAAGGCTTTACTCACAAAAATTGAATTCAAACAGGGGCAAAAAGATTCTACTTTCCAGTTGTCATCTTTGCGGAGTAAATATATTCCACTCAATCCATCGCAGCCTCAACAGTCTTCTAATAATGGAAAAACTGCTTTAAGAGGTTGGTTTTTGAAACTTTATCATTAGGTGTTGGTGCAGTGATTCTACCAAATCTTGAAGCAAGCGGGTGCTGCATTCACTTTGAATGTTGCAAACAGGCTATTACCCGTTTGTACTTACTTGAAAAAAAGAAGAATTAATGTCTGGATTGTAAAAATGAGAATTTTATACTGACTTTTGATGAAATCTAATTAAGAGCAGCACTTTTAGTAGTGCAATGTTCATTTAGGACATGTTTTACTGGAGTTAATAATTCTGAAACATGAAATCACTGGACATTCTTTTGCATCAAATGCTCACTAGTAAATTATCATTGTATAATTTTCAACTTTGAATTATAATACACAGAACAGGTTAAATTTACATGTACTTTATCAATTTTCAGATCATAGCAACATGAATGGTGAATCTAGCCAACCCCATGGGGATGGTATCCCTGCTCCTAAGCTCAATCTTTACCCCTCAGACAGGGTTCAGTTAAAGTGGAAAGGTAGCAGTGATATCGGATGTGGACTAACTAACATGGGCAATACTTGTTTTATGAACTCAACGCTCCAGTGTTTGGCTTATACTCCCCCTTTACACAATTATCTCCAATCAGATGAACACCAGAGAAATTGTGAGTTGCATGTTAAACCTGGTTGTTCTATTATTTTATGTAAAGTTAAAAGGTTAGGACTCAGATTAGACATTGTATGAATAGCTTAAAAAGTACTTAGAATTAAAATTTTCTTATTGAAAAAAGAATTGAGATATCTGATCGGAATTCTTTTTTAAGTTTTTGAAAATACATTTGAATTTTTGAAAATTACTGCTTTATAAATCAAAGGAACATCAAAAACAATATTGAAACATTTTTTAGAAAGTTACCCTCAACTCGTCCCTATTCATTATATATAAATATTATCAGCCATCTTTGAACGTTTCTGTAATGATTATGGGGAATACGCCTGCATTGATGATTGTGATATATGATTAATCTAGGCAAAATATTTGATAAGCGGGTTTGTTTTGTTTTAGGTAAAAACAGTGGTTTCTGTGTGCTTTGTGAGTTATCCAGACATGTTAAACGTTGCTTCAGTCAGCCACGTCATGCCTCTATTAAACCTATGTGTATCATACAGAGACTACAATGTAAGTATGCCATCTATATATTGAGTAACATTAGTTGCTATTGCCAGGGTTGTCACCTATTTTGGGAAGATTTTATGACATTACCTTATAAACACCCCATGCCATTGCATATTTCACTCCATGTCTGCTTCCTCCAATTCTCTCACTGGTGAATGAGCATGCAGAGGTCATAGGGAGGGGGGGTTGAATAGGGGCCTCATACAAAACTACCTGGCTGGTCTGAAGGAACTATGGCACCCATATTCTAAACAGTTTTCTCTGTCCTAACTTATTTTTGAAGTATTATTCCAGAATCCAGAGTAAGAACTACTAATCTAAGTCATTCTATTTTCAGCAATTGCTAGACATATGAAGTATGGCAGACAAGAAGATGCCCATGAATTTCTTCGCTACATGTTGGATGGATGTCAGAAATCTTGTCTTATTGGATATCAAAAGTAAGCTATGAAATTTTTGTTGAGGGGATCATCTTAAAGTTTGGACCTTGAATTCAATATGACAGGCAATTTTATCAAATATATTCATTATCATAATAAAGAAATGGCGTGATGTTTTTGATTTTACTTTGTTTTTTCTTTGACAATGACAGTGTATATATTGTATACAGTACTTAATTTATAGATCAAAAAGGGTTGTCAGTTTAGCTATTCATCCCACAGTTGCCAGTCTGGGTTTATAATGTCAAGATATAAATTTCAGTTGATATTCTTCCTCTATAAGGGGTTAAATAGTTGTAGTCTGTCTCTGAAAAGTTGAATTATTATATATCTACATTTGAAGGGTCAGAAGTTGTATCTGTGATCTCCCCAGCATTAAAGCAAGTGGGCGCAGCACCCAGCTGAGATTTTGAAAATAGGCTTGCACCCACCCGAAAATCCATTTGCACCTACTTGAAAATGAGAAAAATCATGAAAAATGGGCATATTTTGACCAAATTTGCTCTGAATTGTGAAAATGACAATTTTTCACCCAGTTTAGATCACTGTGTATGCTATACTTAATATTTACTTTCAGATTGGATAAATACAGCAAAGACACAACAGTTATCAACCGTATATTTGGTGGCTATCTACGTAGTCAGGTGAAATGTCTCAGGTGTAAACAGTCATCAGATACCTTTGATCCTTTCCTTGATCTCAGTCTTGATATAAAGGTAAGTGACCTTTGATCATTTCCTTGATCCCATTCTTTCTTCGGTCTCACTCTTTATTCTGTCTTGATCTCAACCTTTGGGGTAGCCGAAATATGCCAATAGACATCAATTTCATTGCAATTTACCCACATATTCAAAGACACCACAAAGTTTTCTGTCATTTGAGAGAAAAATTTTCAAATTCTTATGATTTCTGTTTAACTCATTTTTATAGACCATAAATACCTGGTAATAATAGGGGATAGAAAACAGAAAGATTGTTCATTCAGTCAAGATTGAATCAATGTTTCTCTTATTTTCCAGAATGCTAACAGTATCCAGGAAGCCCTAGGAAAATACATCCATCCAGAGATGCTAGAAGGGGAGAATGCCTATCAGTGTACACATTGTAAAGCTAAGACTGCTGCGCGCAAGCAGTTCACCATCCATAGGCCACCTAACATACTCACAATTCAGCTCAAGAGGTACAAACACTGCTGTTCCTATCACTGATTCTTACGTTTAACTGATTCTTTAGTTGTTTAAACTACCTGTTGTTTAGTGAAATTTTAAAACTAAGTATTAATGATTTCCAATAATTCATCCTTTGTGTGTTGTCAAAATTTGTGACGAAACCCCTGTAAGGTGTTATATAGAACATACAAAGATCTCAAAGTATGGAGAAATTCAACATTACACCCCTCCCCTTGAATTGTTCCAGTATCCTCTTGTATATGTTTTTACTCAGATGATTTAACATGTATGACATTGTCATAGGTTTGATGCACACAGAATGGGACAGAAGATATCAAGACCAGTAGATTTCCCAGAATGGCTCGATATACGACCCTACATGAGTGCTAGGAAAGTAAGTATCACCATATCCTGTTCTACATCAAATCAGAAATCACAAAATGCAACATTAAAGAACACAAATACACACACGAGGAACAATATGAACCGATCAAACAACATTGTACATTGCAGAATTATAGTGCTAGAATAAGATAAATTAAGTTCAGAAATCAGAAGATTGTTCATCAGGTCTGTAAGTTCAACTTTTGTTCTGTCAACTTTAACTCATCATCCCCTCGTTTTTCTTAAAGTTCTATATAATTTATATATTTATTTACAATTCTTCTTTTGACCTCTCTATATTACAAGACAATGTACTCTCTAAACTATAACCACCATTATGTAAAATCTAAAGTATTAGTATTTCTGTAGATTTTTTTTTTCATTTATTCCTTTCTTTTTCTATTTATTTTGCCATTGAAACCTTAACCACCATTAGATATCTCCTGATCTTTCCAGGGGGAAGAGATAAGATACCAGCTGTATGCAGTCCTAGTGCACTCAGGGTTCAGCTGTACCAGTGGACATTACTACAGCTTTGTCCGCTCAAAACACGATCATTGGTTCTGCATGAATGACAGCTCTGTAAGTTACAATCATTGTGGTATTGACTCCATAGGAATAAAGAATATCTTCATTTTGTTTGTCAATCTCCAAGCATATCATTCAGTATGATTGTACCACTTCTCTTCTGCCTGCAGATGTTAATTTTAAGGATGTGTACATGTCTCATATATGGCTTGAGTACACTCTATACTGGCAACATAAGATGATTAATAATTATGACAAATCAACAAGTAAAAACCCTGTTTAGAAAATGTTATTATTTCACTGGTTCGTCCATACTCCATACAATGTAGTAGCAAACCTGTCTCAACCCTTTAGAATGTCCCATGGCACCATGCATTTATATGTTACTATTTTATACCAACCTTCTTTATCATGCCAAAATGTTCACTATAACCTGTGTATTTTAGGTCCAAGCAACAAAGACCAGCCATGTGTTGAATGCTCAAGCCTACCTCTTGTTTTACATGCGCAAATCCAAGGCAGCTGTTCTCACAAAGGTAATATACAATATTATATCAGTGTTGCTATTCTTCAATGGAAAGTAACAGGTTTCTGTCATATTTGTTCATTTGAGAAATATCTATTTTTGCATAACGAATGCAAACACTTGAATGAGCCAGACATGCTGGCCCTATATCTACTTATTCCATCTATTTGCTGAATTTATAATAATGGTACTTGGCACCTTGTGTTGGCTCTGACAATATACTAATATATGTATCTTGGACTGAGTCTGATGACCTGTAACCTGGGGTCTTTCTGAATATTGTCTTGCTCGTATCACTGGTCGTGTTAAATGGTTATATATTTGATTTTAAATTATATTGTTTGCACACTGACCATGAAAATCAACTTGAATAATATTTTCAAGTGAAAGGATAAATAATGCTGGAAATTGGTTATAAGTGATAATACCAAGAATATAGTTCATCTTGAGTCGAACTACAAAACAAGGACAATACAATTGGCATTTCTGCTCTGCCATGACATCATAATTTAGTATCTGTCATTAAGTAAATAAGACCAGACTTGCATATTTCCTATTGTATTGTAATCATTGATTATTTATCTGAAATGACATTCGTATATTCAAAGTATGGTAAAAGACCCTTTGGTTGTTACATGCACGAGACACACTTCCAATTACCCAAATGCGAGTAGGTAGTTACCAGTTTCACCACCAGGTGGCTGATTCGGGTCAATTAACATGGCAGGTATATGAGAAAGTTCCCTTAAACTTGAATATTATCAATTTAAGTGGCTCGATTTTCATATAACCCTTATGCGTCTGATACTTATACTAATGAAAATATGTCCAGTGAAGCAAAATATTATCTGTCCACTAAAAGAAAATATATTTCATTTTTTGTGATTTTATAGCATGGGGTCTATGGGGAATCTCCCCGAGCTAGAAGTCACATTTTCAAAGAAAATTAATTTTTAAAAGTTGATAAACACTTTTTAAAACCACATTTCTAGATGTAATTTTGTATGTAGATTTCAAATATGATATTAGTTTGACTGAATTTTGAATTTTGAATGACGTAAATCAAGATTATTTCTACTCGCATCTGGGTTATTGTTGAATATATATTCTATATTTCCAGCCCCCACTCATTGGCCCGCAGCTACCTAACAACTTCCTACCAAATAATGTTCATAAAAATGGTAAGTTTCTTTTTTGTTTATTTTTATACTGTGTGTTATTTTTCAAATATCAAATAATTGATTTGGTTCAGATTTAATCACAGCCTTGGGCAAGATTTTCTAATATGGAGGTTCAATTCAAAATGGCATTTTTGAGTATAGCTTGAACATTACATACACTGTTTTTGTCATGTCGTGGATGTAGCTTTTGGCCAAAAGACGCAAACTGCTGCCTTATATGATATGATAGCATGATATGAATATTATGTTCTTGCAGCTCAAGTAAGCAAGGAACTAGGCAGTCCGGTGAACAGAACACAGAAAATATTTCTCAATGCCAAGAAACCAGTGGCCACCGTGATTCCAAACAACAGCAAGATTACCACAGGGTTCAATGCAACATATAAACAATCCACTGCCATGAAACCAAGGGTGCTTAATATGCCTTCTTCCATCCCACATGTCACTCAGAGGGAGAAGATATCATTTGGAATTAAGCAAAAGGATGGTCCTGAATCAGCAGATACTGAAAAGGCTGGTTTAGTGTTGAAAATCATGAAGAATGGAAAGAATCAATACGAAAGCTTTGTGAAGGAGTCTCCCGAGAAGCTCAATGGTGCAACTAAAAATGGACTTGTCCCATATGGCCAAGATTCAGGATCAGATGAAGAGAATCAGGCTCGAGTAGCAAACATGAAAAAAGATTCACCATCTATTAAAAGCCCTAAAAGGAATTTATTTGGATCACCTCCCCAAGAGAGAGTTGTTTTTGATAAGACATTGAACACTACGACATCAGTGCCAGGATTGTCTTTGCCTTTAAGTAAGGCTGCTGACAAGGAAAAGTTTGACTCTAGCTCTCATAAAAAGGAACCTAAATCTCCTGGTGTCTTAAGTCCACCTAAGTTAAGTGTTAACACTGATCAGAAGCCAGTGCAGGAGCCTAAGACACCACTAAGTGTCATTAAGGAGAGGGGAAAGATCACAAAAGGTTGGCAAATTCACGAGCCTGATGTCACCCATTTGTTATCCCCTGTTGTATCTGAGTGTAGCAATACTAGCATTAACTCAACTACTGAGTGGCACATCTTGGACCTGAATGACCCTCCACCAACACCTACCCTAGCTGAGAGTCAGCATTCAGGATGGACAGTCTCCCCTGCCAAAAAGAACCCTTCTAGCCCTAGAATTGTACTTAAGAAAACATCATCTGATAGCAGTATTCACCAAAGAGATGATAAGGCACCCAGTGAGAGGCTTGTTCATAAGAAGCCAGAACTAAGCACCATAACAGAGTCAACATCCTCAACAATGCCTTTGCTACTCACACATCACAAATCAAAAAAGAAGGACTGTTCTAAGGAAGACGAAGATAGCGGGTTTGTATCACGTCAAAATAGCGACGATGATCGGGATTCAGATGATAAGGACCGTTTGGTGATCGATCTGCCAACAGATCGTAAGAAGCACAAGAAACATAAGAAAAATAAAAAACACAAAAGGGCACATGATGAAGGCATTGATGTTGATGGTAACACAAATGAAGAGCACTCACACAAGAAACATAAGAAAAAGAAGAAGCATAAGAAGAAACATAGACATGACGATCGCGAGCATATCATCGATGATGAAATCCCCAAGGACCAACCACCTAAGAAAAGACGACGTGAGAGTCTAGAAACCAGTCCAAATGACTCTTGTGGTTCAAAGAAGAAACACCATTCTGATGATAATGACAACTGTGAAAGGCATAATGAAACTCTAAGTGACGTTGAAGCTGTATGGGTCGAGAAGACCATTGACACAATTGAGAAAGACAGACTCTCCCATAAATCAGAAGAAAATACCAGCAAGCGGAAAACTGAAGGTAGGATTTCAATGTGACATATTATTTGCTGTATTATGAAATTAAGAATGAAGTGGCTCAAGTTAAAAGAAATCAGAAATGGGAGAGTGGATGGAATTGTATACTTTCATTGTAAACCAAGGCATAACAATCGTTGAAATAAATCCATGTAAACAACTAACATTGTATGAAATTTACTTTTTCATTTCAGTCATTGCCCAAGACTGGGACCAGCATTCTAAGAAACATGCAAAATCCACACCTTCTAAGCCCACAGCTAAATGGGATGGCAATAAGCATGCAGAAAAGGATGTGGTGGGTGAACTGATTCGGAGCTCATCTAGCCGTGGTTATGGTGCCTCAGTGAGTTCATGGGGAGGGGGAAAGTCTAACTTAGATGAAGAGGTCAAGAGAGATAAAGCTGAAGAGAGGAAGAGAAGATGGGAAGATAATTATGAAGAGGAGTTAGATAAGGGAAAGGTACGTAAAGTAGAATTTCATTAAGAAATATGTTACTTCATGAAAGATTCATGTTTGGAGACTACGTTTACTTGAAATTTATAGGGGACAGTTTCTAGATATACTTCACCACACTTTTATAAAATCAGCTTTGAAGAATGGATTTTTAATTGACATGTATACTAATGATTGTTGTGTTGACTGACTACAAGGTATGATATCGGAGTAAGTTTTTCTTCATCAAAAATTATAGGAGTAGTTTACTTTGGGAGACATATTTTATTACTTATTTACAGACCAAGAAGGTTCGCAAAGAAAGGAAAAACTTCAGTAACTATGGCAACATCTTCCAGAGGATGCATGAATTTAAGAACAAATCAAAAGATTCAGTAAGTTGATTTCACAATTACCAATGGTGGTCATATAATGTTTCCTCATCAAAGCAAGAACAAGCATGGTATTAACAGAGCAGGTATTATAACGAAAGGGGATATATGAAAGCTATATGGCCATCATGGTTTTTCAATGGTTTAATATTTGATGAATTTGTGCATTTCTGTTTAGTGTTTTTGTTCCACTAATTTGTCATTTTATAAAATTTGAATTATGATTTGGCCCATCTTTACTTTGGCAGTTTTGAGAGAAAAAAATTTCCTTCCTCAGATTTAAATCTGAAATATTGACACAATTTTTGTGAAATGATTCACAACTTGGCAAAACAGTGGAACTTCTATGCTTACTCAACACATTTTATTAACATCTTGTTTGATGTTTCCAGCCTCATTTTGAGAATAAACACCGTGTGCAAAATCAGAGAATCTAGGCCTGCCATCTATAGTAGAGTTTAGGAAGTAGTAAGTCAGTGAGGCAATCATGCACACATCATAGTTAGCTTAGTTTTTCTTTCAGACAATATCTGGCTGATTGTGTCATGGGAAATATGAAGCCTGAAATTGAATGTTAGATTAGTCTTAGTAGGTGTGAGGTAGTCTTGTATTGGGTCTCTGTATTGCCCAACTTCTTTTCATTAGGTGTTGGTTGGGTGGAAGTGAAAATATTGCAAAAGGGACCAGAGACTTGATGTAAGACTGTTTGTGGAGGATTTTTCTTTAGAAGTAATAAAATCATGCATGCTTCCTGGATGCTCCATAACTTTGAAAAGAATAAAATATGAATTTTTAAATAATTAAGACCAACATTTATAAAATATATATTTGATATCATCAGTCCACTAAATGAAATTCATAATGACATACTCCAGTGTGTTTGATCTCATGAATAATATACCAAAATGACCTGTTTGCTCTTTAGTGTGAATATATATGAAGTATAGATTGATTGAAAAATTATTTGGTAAAGGTGTTTTTTCCTTTATAGCATTCTTATAGCAATATGTTTAATATTTAAAAGGTGGTGGGTATATTTGTGTTCATTTGTTTCATCTTGGAAAAATAAAATGCTACAATAAAAGTATTTACAGTTCAGTCCATGGAACTAAGTGTTAAACACAGAGAAAACTTACCAGCAAAAACATTGGACTATCCAAGCAGATTGTAAATGACTTAATACACATGCTTTTAAAAATATAAAACTTTAGATTTATATATAATGTTTGTATATTTTCAGAACCACTCAGATTATCACAAACAAAGCAGCCATTCCTTGAATCACTCTTACTCCCACTACTCTGAGTACAAAAGTGATAGAGGGAGTGCAGGTGATAATTGGCATAGCAGCTCCAGTAAAATTCATGAACGACGCCATAGTGGGGGGAGTAGCAGCAGCAGTCGGCACAGTCGCCATTCTAGCCCAACAAGGTCTCATGATAGATCACATAGTCGCCATTCTAGTCCCACAAAGTCACATGATAGGTCACATGACTTCAAGGACCCTGAGCATAGTTATAATCGCGATGATCGCTATGGATCAAAATATTGACGTTATAAATGATAATGACGAGAGAAATTTGGTGGTGGTAAAATGATACCAGATAGTCTTAAGATTATTGAAGTTTGATAGAATTATGATTGTTTGAAACATTCTATCCATACCAACATTGTGTAATGTTCATTTAGAATCAGAGGATATACATAACAATAGTTCAGTTAACCCAAAGTAATTTTGCATTTCATTTAGACCAAGATAATTTTCCAATGCTTTACTTATTATTTGAAGTTTACAGAAAATGGAGAGTTTGATTTGCCAGATGAAACACCCCCGATCCGCACTCTAAAATCACAGTACCATACGGTACATTAAGTACATTAAGAGTACAGTACTGCATGGTACCATATTAGTCTATGGTGCTGTATGTTACCGTGTTTCACGGTACTGTACAGTACTGTAACCAAAACAGTACCATATGGTACCGTTGCAGATTGGCTGTGTACATACCCACTGTGTTCTAAAAAACAGGGTATCAGTTGAGTTCAATCAAATCACAGTTTTAAAAATGCATTATTAAATCGAAAAGAGAGGATTTAGGTTTAAAACATTTAGATTTAATGAATAAAGCAAACAAGCAAGTAGTCAACAACACTAAAGTATATAGAAATACCAGGAAATTTCATTTAATTCATATTTTAGAGAGAGACTATATGGAATAAACATTTTTTAAACATGGGTTGCGGTTTGTTTTAGTTGAATTCATACAATTTGAAAACACTTTCAAAAAGTTCAATTTCAATTTGTAAATGAAGAATTTGAATTAATTTTTTTGTAATTCATCAAGAATTGAGTGTAGTCTAGGTGTAAGATACCATTAATGTATACCATACCTACAGTATGGCATACAATAATGTGTTCTTGGCACACAATGTAATTTAGGCATGGTGCACAATATAATGTAGGCATGACATACAATGTTATTAGCAGACAATGAATTTGTACATAAGCTAAATGTTAGATTCATATTAATTTTAGTATGGTGGCTTCACTATTGGGACTGAAATCATGAAAATGTGTCCATGTTACACCATACTATATTGTACAAATGTAAAGACTGACTATATTTAAGTATTTATTACTATACTCTATTATGGTGTGCCCTTATACTTACACTGTATATAAGTATTTTGACATGCTAAGGGGCCCCTGGGGACCCAAAGGCATAAAGTATCCATGAATTAGAATAACTACGCACAAAATTTGTGTGACAAAATATTTCTATGTGCAATAGAGAGTAAGGTCTTGCACCATATAGCTGTCAAGGGCATTGTCTCTCTCCCTTCTGCTCTTCCTGAAGAGAAAGAAAGGAGGGGGGGGGGGGTAACAAATGCCTGATGCAAGCCTACATGTAATATAATGTGTCATTTACTCACTCGTATCATGTTATCATATTGGACATTGGTTAAAATGTAACTGCTCCATCCTGGAAAAACTATTTTTATCAATATTTATTATCCCACAAAACTAAGTTTGTAGGGATATTCATAGAGATAAAGAGAAGCTGTCCATCCATACCAGTTGACAAATTTGATTTTATAGGTTTATGCCTTATGGGTGTAGGACTTTGCTTGAGAAAGAATTTTCAATATGGCTGCTTAATTCAAAATGGCCACCATTTAACATTTGATAATAAAATACCAGTCAACATTTTATATACTGATGCCTAGGGACATATGGAGCTCTGCTCAAGAAGACATTTTCAAGATGGCTTCTGAATTTCAAAATGGCTGCCATTTTCTAAAAATATGTATTTTTTGATAATCTAAATACTATTTATGGACGAAATTGTGTAATTTTTCAAATTCTGTAGGCTAATACTTAATGAACAAAGATCTCTGCTCAAGGAGTTGTTTTCAGCTGCTTATTCAAAATGGCCACCATTTTTCATAATGAATGTAATGTTTCATTACTCGAATACCACTTGACTGGTTTGGTTTAAATTTTATATGCTAATGCTTTAGAGACATAGGATTCTGTTTAAGAAGGAATTTTCAAGATGGCTATTCAATTAAAAATGGCTGCTCAGTGGCTGCTATTTTTTTTTATTTTGTAATAAATGTAACCTTTGATAATAAGGATTTGAATCAAATTTTATATTCTAATGCCTATGCCCCTATGGTGCTCTGCTTACTTAAGAATGAATTTTCAAGATTGCTGATCATTCAAAATGGCTGCAATTTTTCATGAAAAAATGTAAGTCAAATACCAGGTGTAGGATTTTGTGCAAATTTTATTTATATTATGTAATGTCCAAAATGACGAGGTATTTAATGAAAAATGTTTTTTGTTCAGTGGGATTTGCTACTCCATGGAGTTGCTGTTTTCCGTTTATCTATACTAGCCCTCCTAAATATCCTTGTGAATTCATTGCAGTCTGGGATATCTAATGAATGTGACCTCTTTGTATAATAGTACTATGTAGTTTGTCGTGCTTCATAGAGGACTGTCTCAAATACATTAAAACCTGTCAGATGAAACACCTCTCTGTAAGGAACAATTCTCAATATGAAACAGTTTTCAAAAGAATCAAATCCTTTTGAATTACATGAACTCTTTCTGTAAGGAGTACCTGCCTAAAAGGAACAATTTTGGCCAGCACAGACTGTGTTCCATATACACAGGTTTTACGCTATATCCTCTACTTCTGGATTATGTGAGAGTAAATCCCTATGTGTTATGTAATAATGTAAAGAAGGAATTTGCCATCATATTTTGTATTCATTACATATGTGATCCATAAGAAGACAGGTCACACGAGTGACTGGAATAAACACATTTATAGTGACATTTTTTAAAACTATCATTCATTTGGGAATTTGTGTAATCAGCTTTTTAAGGACCCCAGGTACACCCTGACCTTCCATGAAACCACATTTTATAATGTAAAGTATCAAAATGGTTAAGTGTTCACCTTTATTTTTTTGTTCATGTATTATTGTTTTGGTGCTGAAAACCTGCAATGTAGTCCAATTAAACTATTTTTTCTGATACACACCAGACTTTGTAATCAAAATATAGTTATGTTGAACCATTTGTAAGTATTTTAAGAAATAACTAAAGTGGGAGAAGAAATTGAATTTTTATTTTTCAAATATTATGAGAATTGTAAATACAGTGTGTTAGTACACAATATGCATATTAATTGCATTGTATTTGTTGTGTATGTATGATCAAATTCACAATAACAAAGCTGGAGTGAATGATTTAACTTATGGAGTTTTTGGAAAACATTTATTATTACCTCATGCATAACAGGGTTTGAAATTATGAGCCGAATCACTAAACATTTTTGGGAATTTTCTTGAGTGATTAACAAATATATGATAATTATTATGTTGATTTCAGTACAAGGTTGTTAAGGTCCATGCCTTGGCCTCAATGATCAGTTTTGAAAAAATAGACTGAACATATCTGAGAAGAATAGATATGTGTAAAGCTGATAATCTCAGTCAGCAGTTAGGAATAACACAGTTGGTTATGTTATGGGAAGAGGGTAAATGGCAATTCATTGGGGAAGAAAATCTGAAAGGCAAATGGTGGGGGCCATAATGAAATTAACTTCATTTTCCACAACTGTTATTGTTACATACTGTACTTAATTTTCTGTAATTTTCCTGATTCATAATATTTTTCAATTATTACTTCAGCATGATAAAATCACTTTTATGAATATTTTCAAAAATGCAGTGTTCATTTTTTTGTACAAGTTTCCATAGATACCACCTAAAGATATGTGTACACCTCATTCAAAATTTTCATTTGGGTTTTCAAAGTAATTTAAAAAGTCATAAGTGCTTTTTTCTGGGAAGAACATTGCCCTAGTTACACCATATAAGGTAATTGTTAATATAGTATGTGTATTGCATGGTATGTGTACAGTTTGGAAAGCTGTAGTCTTTAATTCGGCAAATATGTAAAATGTAATATTTGTTTAAAAAATATAAGACAATATATGACAAATGTCTATTTTTGTTTTTCTTAAAGTGGAAAATAGAGTTGTAAATGGCATTGAGTTCATGCAAGTTGCAGCATAAAATGTTGCATAAACTTACAACAGACTGATATCACTGTAAATGTCACATATTATTCTGACAGCTGTTATACAGGGTGTTCCAAAAGTAACAGGACTGGTGCTGGCATTTTGTTGAATAGGCACCAATCGTCTTCAAAATTTTACATAATGTACTTCCATGTATTGTAACTAAGACTGCAAAGTTTCGACAAAAATTATGAATTTGTAGTAGAGTTATGGTTGCTATGGTAACATGACATCACAATATCCGGGGCAACATTCCACGCAGAAAGTTACAGAGACTTTAAGCATTTTGTACATCCCATATCAAACTTAGAATCCAACAACTGGTGGGAATTACATTTGCTAAATATGTCATTTAATATTCCTATGTATCCTCAACTTTGAAAAGTAGGGTCCTCTTTGGTCACTCCAAGAGCAGCACTCAGTATCCATGACTAAAACATATAAGTGAACCCATTTGATGACATGTCACGCAGGGTTGATAGAACAACTTGGAGAAGGTCATTCTCATCTTTAAAGGTCTTACCGCGCTGATTAGCATTCCATTCTCTTAATATAAAAGTAGAAATTAGATATTGCATGATCAGAAGAGTATGGTGCATGGTCTTAGACCTCAAGACCTAGCTCCGCTATAGCTGCAGTGGTCTTTAATGCTGACTTGCGGGAAGACGCCTTATCAAGGTGGATGACTGGCTTCAAATTGGGTCTTTTCAGTGAATTGTACAGACTGCTATACATAATGATATTTCAGTAAATTGAATAAATATTATTATTACGAAATCATACTTGAATCTGAGTTGTATAGCAACACCATAACTATAAAGCAACTAATAAAACAAACAACTGTTGTATTGTAATAGGTGAATTAGATACTTTCTTCAATATAAAAATGTTAGATATTACATTTTCATGAAAAAATTGCCCTGGGTATTGTGATGCCACATTACTATAGTAACCATAACTTTACCCGCATTTTATCATTTTTTCTGAAACTTTACAATTTTAGTTGCACTACTTCAAGGTACAATTTGTGAAAATTTGAACACACTCGGTGCAGAATTGACAAAATTCCAGCACCAGTCCTGTTACTTTTGGAACACCCTGTAGTCAAAACCCTGGTACCTGTAAACGTTTTAATTTTCAGAAACCTCTAAAGATTTATTTATCCCATTTCTGGAACAATTGCAAAAGTGATTCCTGTATCTCCATTGAAAATATTTCTTAAATAAATGCACTGCTTCAAGATTCCAAACTTTGTTTCATGGCTTATGTGTATATTAGATCCAATGTGTCCAGCTCCTATTGGTCACTCTATTTGAGTATAAACTCTGGTGTTCAGCTCCTATTGGTCAATCTATTACTATTGCCAATCTATGTGTGTATGAAAAGT